TCCTGCAAAACTGGAAGATGAGTCTGTCTCTCACAAGCTGTGTGATCTTGAACAAGTGGCTTCCTCTCTCTCAGCCGTACTTCCTGCTTCTGTGAAATGTGGTTGTCAGCATGGATGCTCTTTTCCTTTTCAGACAGTAGCCAGCAAGCCTGTGATCTCTGAAAGTCGTCCAGCCCACCCCGGCTGCCTCCCCCAACTTGGCCTCAAAGCCACTTCTCAGCATGGTGTAGTGAAAAGACATGAACTTGGGAGTCAGCCAGACTTAGGTTCAACCTTGAAAAGCACATTTTTATTTAGCAATTCAAGCCTCACACCACTCTCTGAGATGGCAGACGCTTACACTGTTGCACATACGGTTCTCTCTGGCTTTCTCTCTGCCTCGTGCACCCCACGCCTGATCTTTTATTTCTCCTTACAGATTCAGGTCAGAAAATTAAAATCTCAGAATGAAAAGAGAAATCATAGATTAGGAGAAAATATTTGCAAGAAATCATAGATTGGGAGAAAATATTTGCAAATAACATATCTCATAAAGGACTGTTTTCCAAAATACACAAAGAACTCTTTAAACTCAACAAGAAAACAAAAAACCTGATTAAAAAATGAACCAAAGACTTGAGGAGACACTTCAGCAAAGAAGGTATTAAGATGACAAACAAGCAAATGAAAAGATGCTCAACATCATAAGCCATCAAAAATGCAAACTAAAACATCAATGAGATACCATTACATACCTATTAGAGTGGCCAGAATCCAGAACACTGACAACACCAAATGCTGACAAGGATGTAGAGCAACAGGAACTCTAATTTATTGCTGGTGGGGATGCAAAATTCTACAGCTACTTTGGAAGACAGTTTGTCAGTTTCTTACAAAAGTACATACTCTATGATCCAGCAATAATGTTCCTTAGTGTTTACCCAAGGAGATGAAAGCTTATATCTACCCATAAGTTGGACCTGCACATGGATGTTTATAGCCATTTTTTCATAACTGACAAAACTTGGAAGCAACTGAGATGCCATTTCTGCAGGCGAATAAGTAAAGAAATTGTCATATAAGAGAAAAATGGATTATTCAGTGCTAAAAAGAAATGAGCTCTCAAGCCATGAAAAGACATGGAGAAAATTTAAGGGCATATGACTAAATGAAAGAAGCCAATCTAAATGGATTATATGTTATATGATTCCGACTGTATGACAATCTGGAAAAGGGAAAACTATGGGGACAGTAAAAGATAAGTGATGGCCAGTAGGGGAGGGAGGGAGGAATAGGCAGAGCACAGAGAATTTTTAGGACAGTGAAACTACTCTGTATGATACTATGAAGGTAGACACATGCCATTATACACTTGTCTAAAGCCATCAAATGGTATGACACCAAGAGTGAACCCCAATATAAACTATGCACTTTGGATGATAATGATGAATCCATGTAGCTTCATCAGTTGTAACAAAGGCACCTCTCTGGTGGAAGGTGTTGATAATATAGGGAGCTGAACATGTGTGGGGGAAGCAGGTTATATGGGAATTCTCTGAAATATCTTCTCAATTTTGCAATGAACCTAAAACTTTTTTTAAATAATGTCTTTAAAAATATTAAAACCTTTAGAAAATATTTCCAATTCCTCTCCTCACCCTCAAGGAAGGGGGAGATATTCCCAGGTCACCCAGGAGCTTCACACTGTTGACTGTGTGTTTGTGTGGGCTCCCTCCATAGATACTGATTTTCTTGAGGTCAAGAACTGTGACTTTGCACCTGTGGGAACCTCCACATTAAAAGGACTCCCTGCTTAAAGCCTGTCTATGCCTTCCTTCTTACCCAGGCTCAAACCCAAGGTCCCCATCATGGCTCCAAGGTTCCACACAAGCCAGTGTCTGCCAACTTCTGCTTCATTTCAGGCCATTTGTCTTATTTCTTTTTAGGTTCTCAGGGCCCAGCTTTATCCTCTCTTTTTCTTTATACCTAAAGTAATTTCTGTTTGGGTGGTTCTCTACAGACAGCTCCCACCAGCCTTTTAACTGAGACTTTTCAGATCTCAGCTGCAGTTCATTCATTCATTTAACAAATATTTGCTGTGCATTGTTCTAGGCACAAGGAGAAGCAGCAGACAAAAATCCCTGCGTACCTGGAGTCTACATTCTAGCTTGGAGTAAGGCAGACAAGGAAGAAACAAATAAACCAATAAATACAATGTCACATGACGGTATGTGCTAAAGAGAAAAATAAAGCAAATAAAGTGAGGCGAGATGGGCATTCTTGGGTGGAATGTCATTTTACAGGAGGACTCAAAAGGCCCCACTGAGAGCATAATGGATAAGCAGGGACATGCAGGGAGAGTGGGAACAAGCTGTGTGGGCATTTGTGGAGGAAGCAGTGAACGAGAAGATCCTGAGTCTAAGTCGATTCCACAGGGTTGAGGAAAAGCAGAAAGACAAATGAGAGGGGGGGCGGTGATGGGAGGTGGACACAGATGGCAGGGGTCTGGGTCTTGCAGTGTCTTGCCAGCCACTGTCAGGACTTGGGCTTTATTCTGAGTGAGATGAGTGTTTTACACAAAATAATCCAACTAATATTTGTAAGGAGCCACCTGGGCAGGTTCAAATAGAGGAAGATTCATCAGGAGGTTTTTCCAATACTCCTGGTGAGAAGTGATGTCATCTTGGACCAGAACGATAGAGGTTATAAAGTGGTTGACAAATGGTTGGATTCTGGATCTATTTTGAAGGCAAGACCTACAGGACTTACAGAGATGTATTGGAAATGGAGTATCAGAGAAAGAAATGAATCAAAGGTAACTCCAAGGTTTTGACATGAGTCATAGGAAGAGTACATTCGTATTTCCTAAGATGAACAGGCTGCAGGAGGGGAAGGTTGGGGATGCCAGTGGGAAATGAGGAGTGTGATTTTGAAGGTGTTATGTAACAGATATCTATCAGACAGCCAAGCAGAGAAGTCAAGTATACAGCTTGATATACAAATTAGGAGTTCGTGGGAAAACACTGGGGTGGGGTTTCTGTGGTATTCCAAGATTTAGAAGCTAAGGATATAAGAATGAACCAGCTGAGAAGCAGGACAAGGAAAGGCTTGCTCTGCAGGAGGAAAAACAAAAGAGAGAGTGATGTCACGGGAGCTAAATGAAGAAAGCATTTCAGGAGGGAGGACTAATCAACTGTACCAAATGTTAGTGATAAGTTCAGCAAGACAGGGACTTACCACAATTTGTAATTATCTGTTTCTGGTGACTGTGTCTTTCTTCCTCTATGTCCCCACCCCATCGATTATAAGCCCCAAGAGGACAGGACCAGTGTCTCTTTGTTCATCATTTAATGCCAAATCCTGCCGGACTCAGAGGAGGCATACAAAAATATATTTCTTAAAAGAATGAGTAAATGGACTGCTAAATGGTAAATCATTTTGCTAAGTCATGCCTGTCTTTTTAAATGTAAATCCTAGAGCCCCATCTCTGCTGTGCCCTTAACTAACCAGCTGCTTGCCATGGGAAAAACTCAGTTTCCTTCCCCTGGATTTCAGTTTCTTCATCTACTAGCAAACTGCATGAGTTAATGGCCTCTGCCAGATCTTGCATCCCACAGTTCTTCAACAGGTCTAAGTCAGACCTCCTAATTTCCAAGCCATGGTGTAATTTTCGTCACCGCCTCCCCAAAATGCCTCCCATTGGCCTGAGGCTGCCTTGAATTCTGTCACTAGATTTTAACACTTTTCAGTACAATATAGTCCCCATAAGATACACAAATGAGGAAACAGCTATGATATGTCATTTCTGCCAGAATTTGAGTGCATTTGTCTGGTCCTTTCCTAATAACTGTTTCAGATAAAGGCCTATTGAGAAAGAGAGTGCACTCTACTCAGTGAGATGTCTAGGGAGGAAATGGTACCCAAAAACCACTAGAGATAAACTACTGAAAGTCTGGGTAGGGCAGGTCTTATTTGATGGAAGTGAAAGGAAAGGTTCAAGAAAGGTTAACGTGTGTCTTTAAGCAACTCTAAATCTGAAGTGAATCTCAGGAGATGTTGAGTAAGTCATTTCTCCAACCTGGTTTATCTCAATTATAAAACTGGTGAAGATGGACTTAATAATCTAAAAATGCTCTGCTGCCTTTAAAGCCAAGGATTCAGTGAATAGGGAATGGCTTCTCTAACTAGGTAGGGAAGGGAACACGGTCTATTTCAGCCTAGGAATGAAAGATTAAGCAAATAGTCACACATTTACTAATATATGGCTGTTCACTTTAGCCCCAAGAAGTGCTATCCAATTCTCTTAGCATAGCAAAATAATAATATTTTTTTTACATTTACTCAAGTTATAACAAAAATTTAAAACAGTTCTTGCCTGCCAAGTGTGGTCATGTGCCCTGCACATGCCGAAGGTCACAGAGTCTGTCCTCAGTATTGTTCTTTGGGCTGAGACTGCATACACAGAATTAGGATTAGTTCAGTTTCTACTGCTACCCTCCCCAAAATAACCCTGCTAGCACCAACAACGAAGACTGGGCTGTGGGCACTTCTCCCTGTAGTGGACTAGCTTGTACTGGACCATGTTTACACTTAAAGAAAGATGATATTTGTGGATGGGCACAGCGGCTCATGCCTGTGATGCCAACACTGTAGGAGGCCAAGGTGGGTGGATTGCTTGAGCCCAGGAGTTCAAGACTAGCCTGGGCAACATGGCAAAACAACAACAACAACAACAACAAAAACAAAAATTAGCAAGACATAGTGGCATGCACCTGTAGTCCTAGCTACTCAGGAGACTGAGATAGGGGGATTGCTTGAGCCCAGAAGGTCGAACCTACAGTGAGCCATGTTTGCACCACTGTACTCCAGTGTGAGTGAAAGAGACAGACCCTGTATCAAAAATAAGCAAGATAAAAAAAGGAGAGAGAGAGAGAGAAAGAAAGAAAGAAAAGAAAAGGAAGGAAAGAAAGAGACAAAGAAAGAAAGAAAACCAGTGAATAGAATGGAGTCTATTATCTCACCCCAAATCTGTGTTTGGTGGAGGTTGAATGTAAATAAACAGATGAAACAGAAGAACAAGCAAGCAAACAACATTTATGACCAGGAAAGAGAGTGAAGTCAACCAGATTATCCACAAAGTCCAGCCTGTAACATCAACATCATTAGCACAGCCTGAAGGATGGGAGAAATTATGTTTTGGGGCAACAAGGATGAGATAAGAAACCTGATAATGACCATCTGCTGCTGATGTCAGGTCTGCCTTGAGTAAAGGAGCAGGAGCACTGGCAATGGGCACACACGCAGATGTGTTCCAGGTGGTGTGAGAGTGTTTGAGTGTTTAAAGTACTGTGGGTGGTGCACTTAACACAGCACTTTTCTGTCCAGGAAAACTATATCCCCTCCAAAGCCCTGAATTATTGAAATCTTGAAGTTTCTCACATCTGTTACGAGCCTTGTATCACCATTTTCACACGCTATTGGGTGCCATATTCTGTGTCTGAGGTTACAGGCATGCCTGAACCCTCCCACTGCCAAGCTGGGAGATCATTTGTTATTTCTGTAGCCACAGGGCTTGCCAAAACCTGGGGAGCTTGATTCTGAGAAGAGTCATCATGCCGGAAGGCAGCAAGCTGGCGAGCCGTGGGGTGGTCTCAACACTCGATATCCAAGCCTCTTGGCCTGAGTGTAACCAGAGCCCCTCAGAGAGAAAGTGGCCCTGAGCTGCCTCAGCAGCTGTAAAATTCCTCTAATGGCCTAGTCTAAGTCCCTCTCACTCAGACCACTGCCATTTAGTTGGAAAGTGAGTTAGGTCCAAATAGGATGAACCAAACTTCTGTCCAAGCAAAGAAGTTGGCCCAGGGCTCATGAGCTTTAAATGGACCATGAATAATGTTTTATAGCCTCGGCACTGGGGTGAACTCAATCCCTACACTTAGCCTCACCTTTCACAGTGTTATTTTTAGAGATCTCATTACACCCCAGCTTAAACTAAAAATATGTTTCCTAGGAACAGCAGAACATAGTTTTAATTGTGCAAAGTGACACAAATGCTCATGGCCTCTAATTAAATATGATGTTTCATGTGTCTGATATCAGCTGTAGGGAGGTAGGAGGAATGGCTAAATTGCATGTTTCAAGAGCAGTGACTAGACTTGCTTTGAGGCTATGGGGCTCAATTAGCTTTCTGGGGGCTGGTATGGTTTTCCTCAATTGATGCTTTGATTTCTAATAATTTGGTGTGACTCATGTAAGGCAGAATCACAGGTCCCAAGAAGCCCTGTTCATGAGAAGCTCACCTCCAAGTTCTACCAAGCCATTCTCATCCAACACTGACACATAGCTCCCTCCCTACTCTCGCATGCTTGGAAGGAGAGGTGGTGCTGTAAAAGAGCTTTGGAATGTAACAAATTGGCAGCTGAATCTTTATGCTGCCCCCTTTACCTCTGTGACTTCAGGCAAGTTATTAATCTTCCTAAGTCTGGTTCCTCATTGGAAAATAAGAATAATAAATGTTGTATGGATAAAATGAAATATTTTATACATACAGCAGAAGCCTAATAAATTATTACATGATTTTTTATTTGACTTGCTCATATACCCAAATCAGTAGGGGCATCTGTTGAGCACTGACCGAGACATCACAGGTAATATACAATGCAATGGTGTCAGACCCTGACAAAGACTGCACACATGGGCACAAGTGGCTCTGATTCAGGACAGCATGGAATGCCACATTGGAATTGAGGTACCAGCCTAGACTATGGGGACACCAGCAACGGAGTGCTTTATCCAAAAGAAAGTCTCATGAATTCAAACTGGTCCTTTAAGGATTCTTAGAACAGTAGCATTCTCCATACTGGCACACTTAGATGTTAAGGATGTATCATCTAGAAATAGACTGCCTAAGATGGAACCCCAGCTCTGCCTCTTATTATCAGACTAGCCTTGGGCAAGTTATTTAAGCTTTTACGTCATAATTTCTGCAGCTGCAAGACAGAGCTCATGTTAACACCTGCCTCATAATGTGGTTACGAGGATTAAATGAGATAGCTGATGTGATGCACAAGCCTTTAGTACATTGTCACAAGGCAATTCCTTAAGAAATGGTGGTACTGTGGGAAGTTTATTCCTGGAAAAGGGAACATCTGAGCAAAGAAGGGAACGTACAAGATAATTAAAGGAATATCTTGTGGCTTAGTTTGACTGAATCATAGAGCATATTATGTGAGAAAAGGCAGGCCCTCAAGTATCCTCTCCAGGTGAGTCTTTGCACTCACTCATGACATTTTGTAGATTCCATCAGAGCACATTCAGTGTCTCTATCCAGTTCCTAGACTCTCTAAGACAAGAGCTTCCATTGTAACTACTCAGACCACTCAGCCTTCTCTTTTCCAGGAGAATCATTTTCCCATTTTCAGACTATTCTGGTTTCATCAGCTCTTTAAGACAATTATTACTACTTTGATGAACCTGGCAGTTTAGTGATAACAGTGTGATCACTCGATCTGGTTATAGAGAAAAACAGGTCGGCAGATTTTCTATCTGGTGAAAACTCTAAAGGTTTCAAGCTCATTTCCATAATCTCTTAAGTTTCCAGTGCCTATTCTAGAAGGGGCTTGGTCAGACTGGACCTGACAGCCTCCCTGAACCTGGAGGGAACAAGCTCGATAGCATGGGGACTGGGATGGAGAGTCAGGATGCCAAGTCGTGGGTAGGCTGCAAGGTGTATGAAAGAGTCAGCACATTTTAAAAATGAGATTCCTGTGGGTGCCCCGTGTGAATCATCTGTCACTGCAGGGTGCTCCTGCTGTTTCTATCATATCGTTGGGGTACTTTTCAGAGCATGAGCTGATACCCAACACTCGGAACATTTTATTTTTCCCAGAGAAGTGTTGACATATTTACACAAAGAAATAAAAGTCTCTATCTCACGGACTTTTGGAAGCAGAACAATTATTTTGCACACCAATGTGAATAAAGAGCAGACAAAAGTAGGAAAATAGAAAGAGAAGGAGAGGCGCTGCCCGCCTCCAGGGTGTGAGTATTATCAGCCATGTCTATGTCAGAGTTCCTGAGTATCACTTTCAGATCAGTTACTTTACTCTTTCTCCCAATATCTACAAGTACAATCTGACACTGTGCAAAGCTACCGTGTCTTCTGTGGGTTGTCTGCCCATGATGGGTCTTCTCTCTGCCCTTCCCACTTCAGCTCCCAGGTCCAGGGCTCTGGCCCCCGCAGAAGCTCTGCCCCTCACTGTGTGGGGACAGAAAAGTTCCCTCCCCAAACACCACATTCTCAACTATTAGGCCCACCTGCGTACTTTGGCAGCCCATGTGCCCTGGCATTCTGGGACAGCTCAGGAGTGTCTGAGAATAGACAGAGATTGCCCAGAGCTGCAGCTGCACAGCTCAGGCAGAGTGCCCCAGCACCCCAGCCTCAGGCAGGAGGAGGCCTCCCTCCCAGGAGCAGCCTGGCTGCACAGCTGATCCTCACTAATCCTGCTCCGTAGAGCCAAACTGGTTGATTTTCATATATCTATGACTTGCGTGTTCTTTACATCGTCTGCTTTATTTTCAAACCTGTCAACAGGCCTCTGAAAAGGTTGCACACATGAGCAAAGGTCTGGGTAGCTCCAGGAAGGACAGAAGCAGCCGTAGGCTGGGCAGGAGGGGGAAGGCCCTGGGGGGCAGCAAAGCTACAGCAGGGCAGGCATTCAGACCTGGGAAACTGAGTCATGAGACCATGGACTTCCCATTTTGAGGGTTTTGTCTCATCAGAAAAACAAGACATATGGTTTGCTGCCCTGAGATCCTATCTGCTCAGATGAGAACGCTGGCTATAAATCTGAGATAGACCACACACTTACTGAACTATATTTATCAAGTTTCTTAATAAAGCAAAAGGCTCAGAAGCCTCTGAGAGTGAACACAGTTTTTTTCTGACAGAGACATAAGCCAGCAACAAGCAGCTTATTGTTGTTCAGTTGCCAAGTGGGTGATTCAATTAAAATAGGAGCACATCAGATCTGTTTGTATGAACCCACAGCATTGCTATTTGTAAAGGGGCCCTACTTCTCGGACTTACATTGTTGCTATTTTCTTTTTCAAGATTGTTTTAAGGTCTCTAAAAGAAGACTCACAGGTTGGGATTTGCCTATCATGTTGTCTCAGCAAAGACCAGACAGTCAGACTAATGCTGTCTCTGAATACAGATGTTGTGCCAATCATTGTTTCTAAGCTGACCAGTCGATTCAATCTAACAATGAAATTCAAGATAATGAAAGCCAGAATATCAGAATAGAAGAGATCTTGGGAGTTACAAGGTATGACTCCTTCATTTGAAGCTGAGGAGAAACTGAGGACCAACGACTTTGCTAGACTGAGACTTGAAGGCAGAATTATTAGGGCTCTTTCCAGTTTATGACGCACACTCACAAGCTCCCCGGCATCTTGAAAGACAGCCTGGTTCAGGAACTTCATGTTGAACCAGATAAATGTGTAACACGGTGGGAGAGAAGGAATACCAGGTACCATAGATGGGAAGGACAGGACTCTGGGCTCTCATATCTACAGGCATCCTGTCAAATTAGAGAAGGAGCACCCAGATTTTCTTTCACCCATAGACCCTGCGGATAATTCCCTGTCTCTGATGGGCCCCACAAAAAAAACTACAGAGGCAAAATAGCGGGATAATCCAGGGACTAATGAGTAATGCAGAGGAAACATATCCTTTCTGGTGGACTCTAATGCAATCTTCAAATATTTCAGTGTAACAGGGTTCTAAGTTCGAAGTTTTAATTGATGTATCATGATTTAATAAATATCATATACAGAAATATCTAAAAAGACACCCAATAATGATTTCACATTTCATGGCCCTCTGTTTAGAGAAGCCTGCACTATGAGTACCTCACAACCCTCAAAGAGTGTGGCATGGGAGGGTGTCTGTACCTCCCCTCAATTCTCAGAGTTGAACCTCAGGGGATGACGTGGGAGTTTTTTATATGTCCCATTGCAGTTAGGGGAGGGACGTAGAGTGGTGCCCTCCTCTCACCCTTACGATGTGAGGGATGGCCGGAGGCAATGCTGTTGGGCAGCTTACTTGGAGTTTGTTAAGATGACGTACTCAGGGTGTGTTCAAGGACCAGATGTGGGCCATGTTGGGGAGCTGGCATTGGGGTGGTCGGCAGA